GCAGATGGAGAACAAACACATCACAGACAAAATGTGCTTGGTCTCTGGAGGAAGGATTGTGGCTCCTTTGTTCTCTGGGCTGCTGTGTTTTGCCAGGCCTTCTGCTCAGGTTGGATGTCTTTGGGGTACCTGTTTAATGCATCAGGATCTCTTGTGAGCGAACCTGCAAAAGCCAGATAAAAACCAAGCTCCGCAATGGCCAAGAATGACAATGGAATAATATTCAGGCTACTGAGAATTTTACAAGTCATTTGTAATGGAACCATGGGCAAATTTCACTGCTTCTTTAAACAAAACCAAGTCTTGAGTCTGTGCCATAGTAAAGGAAAGGACTCCTGGACGGTTAAGTCCAGTCAAAGGAGACTATGGGGTTGAGGCACTCATCTTGCTTTCAGGCGTTTGTCCACAGACAGCTTTCCGGGTCATGTGGCCAGCATGACTAAACCGCTTCTGCCACAACAAAACACCGTGACAGAAACCAGAGCGCACAGAAACACTGTTTACCTTCCCACCACAGCCGTACCTATTTATCTACTTGCACTGGTGTGCTTTCAAACTGTTATTGTGTGTCCACCTAGTTCATTGTGTTGCCCAAAGCCACACAAGCTGAACAAAGACCCCTCATGACAACATGGTTCAAATTAGGCCACAGCTTGTTTTTTTTTTAAAAAAAAATGTTCAAGTTACAATACAGTTACAACACAATGCATTTTCAACCAATATATCCCCTCCACAACTTTGTTGATTACAAATACATGGGGTTTGGCAAAGTCATTGGGTTACAACAGGTATCAACCAGCCCGACTGCTGGATGATTAACCCAGGGGTCAAACCAGTACTGAAGAGGCCCTATGACATATATCAAATAGGCACCACCTCTCAGGCATTGCCATCTTGAAGAATACTATGACCCTAGACCACTGCCTGTCCAGACAGAGGCACCTCCTCCCAGATCCCTTTAACGGGATATGCCTATTCCAATGAAGGGGCAGGTTGAGAATTACAATAATGGATTTGTCCACTGCTATTTTTCTAGAAAAAGATGTGCCAAAACTCACCAAGGGAGAACAATTCTCTTGTTCTCTTAGCTATACAGCTGCAAATATAAGTGTTTAAGTGCATTATACAAATGTGACACTAGATGGCGATGGTAAGCTATGACAAATTCTATATATTTTTCAAAACGTTTTTTTAAAAAAGCATTTTGTATACGTGTCTAAATTCCACCTTAGAATAGCAATGGCACCCACCCAAGAGATGCCAGAACTGAGTTCCATCGAGTTCTGGCTGTAAAAGCAGCCCTAGATTTGTCCCACAAATCCCCCCCTCCCCAAAAAAGAAACCCCCAACTCCACAGGTTTTGATATATGCCAAATATTCAGTGCCCTATCTTTGGCATTGATGGGGCATTATCTGACTTCATCTCATAGCATTTGGATTACTACATGTTCTACAGGGGTCTGCTTTGCAATATGGTTTGGAAATGGCAGTCAGTTCAAAATCTTTCCACTAGCCAGCTAACCGGGACCAGAAATCACAAATCAGCATTCTCTGCAAATATGCACATTTTTCTTTCACAGAACAGAATTAAACTCATGGAGCTCTGTGGAGGGGGAAACGCATATTTGCAGAGAAAGCCGGTTTGTGACATCATCCAGAATTAAACATACCCTTCACCTCGTACAAATTAGCTTCCGTTTAAACGTGGGTCTACGTTGCATCTTATCAGCACATTTGTTGTGATATTCAAGCGAACTGGGTTGACTGAAATTAACCCATGCATGCCTATTTTTTAGCGATAGCTTTCGGTTGCTTTTTTAGTGACATACAGCAGCAGAGCCTAATGCAGAGTGGTGTCTGAGTATGTGTTAGCTCATTTTAAATATGCACATGCAATTTTTTTTAAGGCACACACAAGTGATGAATGCATAGAGATGAATTAAATGTTGGGGAATTTCAGCTGGGCATCTGTTGGAGTTGAAAACACCTCCTACTTTACAAAAGCCCTCAAAGTATTAAAACACGCTTTCCAGTCTGACAATCAACCGCTTGCTTAGGCTCACTGAACAGTAAGCATCTTCTTTATAGATAGATAGATAGATAGATAGATAGATAGATAGAAGATAGATAGATAGATAGATAGATGATAGATGATAGATAGATAGATAGATAGATAGATATAGATAGATAGATAGATAGATAGATATAGATAGATAGATAGATAGATAGATGATAGATAGATAGAGATAGATGATAGATAGATAGATAGATAGATAGATGATAGATAGATAGATAGATAGATGATAGATAGATAGATAGATAGAGATAGATGATAGATAGATGATAGATAGATAGATGATAGATAGATAGATAGATAGATATAGATAGATGATAGATAGATGATAGATAGATAGATAGATAGATAGATAGACAGATGATAGACAGATATAGATAGATATTTTTAACATATCATTTTCAACAATAATAAAACATACTTTAATATCTTATACAATTTTTTCGACTTCTGTCAATCACATCTGAAAATTTTCAAATCTTTTCCACTTAATTTACATTTCATACTTTCACTATTAATTTTAATTATCATAGCTAATGTCTCTCTTCTTTATCTTCTTTGCAATATTTCATATATTCCTCCTTACAAAACTTCTTGTAGTCCTGCTAGCGTAATTTGTTGATTACAGTTGCTCTTCAAATATTTATTTATTGTATATTTATTCCAATCTTCTGTGAATCTCTGGTCCCGCAGGTTTCGAATCCTACCTGTCATCTTATCTAATTCTGCGTAGTCCATTAATTTTGTCTGCCATTCTTATTTCGTCGGTATTTCTTCTTGTTTCCATTTCTGGGCCAACAGTACTCTTGAAGTAAACATCTTCTTTTAAAGTCATTTTGCAAATTTCCACAGTCCTGAAATTAAAACAGAACCGACACTGTTAGAATTCGCAATAAAAGGAAACGGAGCCCTTTGAAACAGGACATGTCCGTGCAGAAGGGGAATCATGTGAGTGCAATGGAAAATAAAACCCCAAGCTCTTGTGAAGTATGCAATTTGTACAGGGAGTACATATTAAGGGCAACTGGTTTCAGATCAGGAAAGATCAGGGGGGAAATGAAAAGAAAAGAACCATGCAACGAAATGGAGCAGTCTGTGGTAAAGCCACAGAAATGAGAGGGAGGAAACAAAATGCAGGTATCTCAGTTCTTTGTTGTAACCAACTCATGGACAAAGAGGAGGAAATGAGTCCAATTTAGCTTAGAACATTTCATTTAACCATGAGGACAACTTAGGGTGTCCATGTCTCCTACTTTACAGAGGACAGTCCTCTATCTGAAAGGCTCCCAGATGACAGTCCTATGATTTCGTTTTCCTTTTGCATTCTTCATTTCTTTCTGGATCCCTTGCCGTTTCACTCATTCTTCCACCAACTCCACAGCTTTAAAAAAGTATTGAGATGCCTGCACACTTCTGTTGCTGCCCAAGAGTTGGGAATTCCCTGGACTCCTAGTTAGTTTTAAGAGAGGAGCAATGAAATTGGGCAGCTGGCTCTGGACCAAATGCATATTTAAATAATGTGCCGGAAAATTACAGCACAGTCAGAAACCACTACATCTGCAGTTTTATATCGAGCCACAATCTTCCAGAGGTCCCGATTACCATCCTGGGTTCAGTGTTTTACAGGAACTGTGATAGGTTATACTTACAGTGAGCTTCAAATGACCTAGAAAATGAAAGTAAAAGAATCCAATTCATTACGAGATTAACTACTTCGGTGACAATTTAGCCTCATCTAATGAGCTAAATTGTAAAAGCATCTTTAATAAAATTGCTCAATGCTTCTGATTAAAAGGATCTCGCTATATATGAAACATCACTCTCTTATATATAGCGCTGTTTCCCATGAATGGGGGACAGGATCAGAAGAAGCACAAGGTGATGGGCTTTCCGGCTCCTGCCATTTCCTCTTGGCTGCATGGCTGATTGCTTCCCTGAGAGCCAGTGTGGTTTAGTGGTTAAGAGCAGTGGACTCGTAATCTGGTGAACCGGGTTCGATTCCCCGCTCCTCCACATGCAGCTGCTGGGTGACCTTGGGCCAGTCACACTTCTCTGAAGTCTCTCAGCCTCACTCACCTCACAGAGTGTTTGTTGTGGGGGAGGAAGGGAAAGGAGAATGTTAGCCGCTTTGAGACTCCTTAGGGTAGTGATAAAGCGGGATATCAAATCCAAACTCTTCTTCTTCTATGTTAAAAACACGAACAAACCAAACTAGTCTGTCAGGGCGAAGGTTTCTAGCCTTCATCTTAACATGCCAGTTTTCCAGGTGCAGGGAGTTCGTTTTTTAAAGTTCTCCATATGGAATCTGAATAGTATAGCTTAGGAATTTATGTACAACTCAGGGGCATAGGAAGGGGGGTGCAGGGGGTGCTGTCCACCCTAGGTGTCATCCCTGAGGGGGGGGTGACAATATGGCAAACCACTGGGGTGGCATGAATAAAGTTAGAGGTGGGGAGGTGCATTTCTTTCTTACCCAACCTCTCCTTCCTGTGAGGCCCCTCCTTCTTCCCACCCTCTGAAGCCACATCAAAGGGGAGATTAAAAATTGGTGAAATTTGCAAGGGTGGGATGCAGGATTTTTGATGGGATTAGCTTACTTTTGAGGTGGCCAAGAGGTGTTTGTGAGCATCCTTTCCTTCCTCCTACATATAATTTCACTGGTGGTCTTCACGCTGTAATGTTTCCAGGTGCCCACATTTCAAGCAAGCCCAAGAGAAGACATCATGTGGTCCACCTGTCCAACCTGGCCAGCAGGGATGAAGGGCGATAGTCCTGAAGCTGATGGTTCATCAGCTGATAGATGGGGGTTCCGTTCTGCTCATTGCAAGAATCCACTGAACCCACCAAACCCATTCATCAAGGTAACACCACCTGATTGACAGGTGGAAGTAATTTACCAAAAATGTCTTCATAGGCCAACCCTATCTGGAGGTGCCAGGGATTGAATTTAGGACCTTCTGCATGGAAGGCAGAAGCTCTACCACTGAGTTATTCCCCTCCCCAAATGAGTGCTAGCATGCAGGCATGAATTGTCACAGGCATAACACCACAGACAAACACAAGAACCTCAAACGCGATATTTGCAAATCCTCCTGCCCATTACATGTTCAGTAATCAATGATGAGTGAACCAGCTTCAAGACACCATCCTTCCATGTACTTGTTGGAATGTGTTTACAAAGACAGAAAATGTTAGTTTGCAGTGGGAAAGCAGAAGATATGGCAGCATCTATGAAGAATAAATAAAGATGAAGTACTCTGATTACATTACTTGGCATCTCCAGTCTGCCTCATCAGCAAAGGCTGATGAAAACACAGTATGGTGGCTTCTTTAGGATGCCTCTGCCATTTTGTGATTTAATTGGCCCCACTGGGCTACTTGACTATTTCCCTTCAAAGGTAAGAAGATCCCCTACTTTCTATCAAATACTGATGGGGGCATTAATTGGCATTGCTTTGCAAGCAAGTAGAGTCGTTCCCCAGCCACACCAATATACAAAACATTGAAAAGTGTCAAATAAAGAAAGGAAATGAAAAAGGCTGGAGAAAAATGTTGGGAAGGGTGTTTTGTTTTGTTTTAAAATTAAATTGTCTATAGTTCTGCACTAAGATTTAAGTATTTCATGAGCACATACAGTGGTACCTCGGGTTACATACGGTTCAGGTTACATACGCTTCAGGTTACAGACTCCGCTAACCCAGAAATAGTACCTCGGGTTAAGAACTTTGCTTCAGGATGAGAACAGAAATTGCACAGCGGCGGCAGCGGGAGGCCCCATTAGCTAAAGTGGTGCTTCAGGCTAAGAACAGTTTCAGGTTAAGAACAGACCTCCAGAATGAATTAAGTACTTAACCCGAGGTACCACTGTATTTTGGAATGCATTCTTTTCTCCAGACCTTTAAAAAAAAATTGAGAGGGGAACCCCAAAGATATTGAGAGCATATTTTAGGCACTGAAAATGGCAAGAAAACAAAGGTCTTTCTGTTAAGTATCATTTCAACTGCCTTTCCTCTATAAAAATGCTTTCTTTCATCTTAAAAGACCAGCAAGTGATGGAACAATGCCCTGCAATTGAAAGAAACTGGTGGTTCTGATGTCTACAACACAGGGCATCAGCTGTTAAAATTCGGCATCAAAGGAATCTTTAGATGTAAGTATTTAATGCTGCTGTAATGTAATGAAATAAAGAGTGGGGGGGGAGAAACTTATCTCCTTTTTGATTTTCCAGCTGCACAAAATTTATCAAAGTTTTCTTGTTCATTTGAACAAGAAAAGAAAAAGGAAATTAAGCTTTCTTGACCAAAAAAAAGGCCAAAAACAAAAAAGCTTCCATCAGAATAGTTAGGATAGCTTGGCGTATCTCCTGTCATCCCAGACTCTCCAGTTTGGGGGCCGTAGCAAAAGCAACCATCTGAAATCAGTTGGATGGATCAACAAGGTCCCAACCTTGGGAGGGGAGATGATGTTCTGTTATCTCGCTGTTTCAATGGGAAGGGGATCTATACGTCCCTCTGCTAGAAAAGCCCTTTGTCTGAGGGCATCATCTGCTAGAAGAGCTACCTGGTCCAAGTCTGGTTTAAAGATAAAGAACCGTCAGAGAGAAAAAGGGCCTTTAACAACAACAACAATTTATTTATACCCCAGCCACTTTGGGTGGCTCCCAATAGAATACTAAAAACACAATAAAAGATAAAACATTTAAAAACTTCCCTAAACAGGGCTGCCTTCAGATGTCTTCTAAAAGTCAGATAGTTGTTTATTTCCTTGACATATGAAGGGAGGGCATTCCACAGGGCGGGCACCACCACCAAGAAGGCCCTCTGCCTAGTTCCCTGTAACCTCACTTCCTGCAGTGAGGGAACCACCAGAAGGCCCTCGGAGCTGGACCTCATTGTCCGGGCTGAACGATGGGGGTGGAGACACTCCTTTAAGTTGGTCTATCAACAGTTAACAGAACCTGGTCAGCCTTCCCTGCTATGAGATATATCTTGTTTCTGTTTAAATTACAGGCGAGTTCTTCACATCAGCCGTTTCTGTGATAATGCTAGACAAACATATGCTTGAGCCGATTTCAAAGAGGTGACAAGGTATTATTTTAGAGGTAATTAATCAAATACAAACAAGTTACTGGATCTGGATGGCATATACTTTAAAGATATGGTTAATCTTCCAATAAAAACATGCAACTTATCAATAAATGTGGTCTTCCTGCTAGAGGATTGGAAGGCAAGCAATGTAACATTGTGGGAGGCAGTAAATGATAGACTCCATTCACTGAACTGGGAAAACTGATTATGAAAGCTAAAATTAGAAGCCAGAAAAAACATGGCGCCCACCACACTGCTCATCTACTTGACTCAAGTTGTTCTCAACTCAAGGAAGGGTGCTTTTAAACTGTAAATTAGAAAGCTCCCACAATGTTTAGAGGACCACAAGGAGAGAGCTGGTCCCTGAAGGTCACAGTCTGAGGCCGATAGCCAACTTCACCACGACTTTTTATTATTATCAAGATACTTAAATCTTCCTAAATGCAGTGCCAAAGGAAATGCACTTCTAACAGCAAGTTATAGTAAAGAATCTCCATCTTGTGTGACTCACTTTGAAGTCACCTCACAACTTGTGATTCAGTTTTATTCCATGCTGATAAGTTATAGAAAACACTTTCTGCTTTATCTGTAGTATATTACGGCACTCTCTGAGGTAAGACTGGCTGTACTTGTCTTAATTTTTGCATTTGCAGGGTCTTTAGGCTTTTAGCTACACCATTAGCAGTATGTCAATACAGAAGGGTTCTTTTTTCAAATAAATGAATTATTGCAAAAAGCTGTGATAAAGAGTAATGGAATAATACATCCATAGTAAATCATTTGGCTCAAATCACATGCCATATATTAAGCCATACTATAATCATAAATTTAAAGAGTGATAATTTTTAATTTTAAGATGTAAAGTTAGCAACAACAATCCCCTTTGTTTTACATTTTATATGTTTTGGATTACTTTTTCTTCTTCTTTAAATCATCCAATATTTGCTGCATTGTCATTCTAAGATTTCCAAGTGATGAAAACTGTGGGCATGGCACATTCATCTGCAAGCATTTTTCAATTCCTTTGGTTTCAAAGAGAGAGTTAAATATCCACACACCCTCTCTGCCCTATGTCAACAGCAAGAGAAAAGTCTGAGGGATGCTAGGAAGCTGGCTCCTTCCCTTTGCTGGAGTTAAAAGCCAGAAGGTGGAGAAATTTGCATGCATTGAGCCCTGTTGCTGAATTTCAGTGGCTTTGCACGCAAAACGTCCAGAGTCAAAATTCCCAGCACCTCCAGAAAGAACTGAGAATTACCACTACTCAGGGCTGGTGCTATCATTAGTCCAACTCAGCAGCTTCCAAGGGTGCAGACTCAGAGGGGAGCAGTAAAGGTAAAAAGATAAAGGACCCCTGGATGGTTAAGTCCAGTCAATGGCAACTATGGGGTGTGGCACTCATCTCACTTTCAGGCCGAGGGAGCCGGTGTTTGTCCACAGACAGCTTTCTGGGTCATGTGGCCAGCATGACCAAACTGCTTCTGGCGCAACAGAAACCAGAGCGCACAGAAACGCCATTTACCTTCACGCCAAGTGGTACCTATTTATCTACTTGCACTGGCATGCTTTTGAACTGCTAGGTTGGCAGCAGCTGGAACAGAGCAATAGGAGCTCACCCTGTCATGAGGATTCGAACCACCAACTTTCTGACTGGCAAGCCCAAGAGGCTCAGTGGTTTAGAACACAGCGCCACCCGCAGTACTGACCTTTGAGGCTCACAGTTTTATACAGATTAGTTTTTGTTATATCTTATATGTTTCCGCTAATTACTTTTATTTTATATTTTGAAGAATTTTACCATTCTTGAAGTAATTCATACATTAGAATTTTTTTTAAAAATGTGTATATGAGATAGTTGATTGGAGGTTGTGTTCCAGATAAATGAGTTTAACAGCAATAAAACTGCCAGCACATTTGCAAGGCTAAGCAGGGTGCAGTGTGATTTCAATTTGGATGGGAGGCTGCATGTTAAAATTCCTGGATTGCAGGGGGTGGGACTAAATGACCCTCAGGGTCCCCTTCCAACTCTACAATTCTATGATTCTATTACATAAACAGAGAGAGAGGAAAAAATGGTCCATATATGATATGGATATATAAAGGTCAAAAAGGTCACTTACATTTTCAGCATTTTTCTGGATGCTTTCACAAAGCCTTCTCATCACCTATGAAATTACTAGAGACAGCCCCATCCTGTGGTCATTTTTCCCCAGGTAAAAAAATATTGTTTCAAATATATTAAAATAGTATCAAATTAAAGCAAGGACACTTAGTAAACAGTCATCTATCCCAGACATCCCCAATTGCTTCTTTTATCATATTTTATAGAACCTCTGGATTAGAATTCACCATTCTTATTTTTTATATATATCATGGCCCGGTGGTTTTCAGCTCATTCTACCACCAATCCTCCATTATTCCTCTATAGCACCTAAATCTCAACTGCTTTACAAGCTGCTGTCAAGAATTTAGTACCTTAAGGCTGACTTCAACACCTTTCTTTCATGTTTTATGCTTTTGCTCAGTTTTATAGTCATTACACAGCTGCAATAAATGGCTACAAATCTGAGAAAATGACTTGGAGCACGACGCGAGGAGTGGGGAGGGAAAATCTGTTGCCTGCCTCTGTTGTTCAGCAATTAGTAATATATTTGACCTGAACCACAGCATATTTTCCTCTTCCTTGTTTATAATAAACCAAACAAACGACTCTTTCCATACAAACGAAAGTGGTGATTCACTATGGAGGGCGAGACTGAGTTTCTCCACTCCAGTTTTGAAGCAACCCTGTCTGTCGATTCGCCATGTCATAGATTAGGGCCAATCATCACTGCCACCCACAATATAAAAGCAAACTATTGCTCATAGTTAGCAAGGTTTATTATATTTATATTATTGCTCACTTTGCCTCCGAGC